CTTCTTCTTCTTCTTCTTCTTCTTCTTCTTCTTCTTCTTCTTCTTCTGTTCTTTTTGTTGTTGTTGTTCATCTTGTTCTTGTTCTTCTTGTTCTTGTTTTTCCTGTTCCTGTTGTTCTTCCTGTTCTTTTTCTTCTTCTGATTGTTATTATTATTTACTTGTGTGAAATGTATTGAACTTAGGTCTATATGCTTCTCTTTCTGTTTTTATAAGCAATGCAAGTTTTCCTATTTGCAGAAAGAAAAGCACCTCTATCATTAGGCTGCTTTTTAATGGCTAATGATTTGTTGTTCTTTAAATGTAGGACAAACTATCTTCTTACATATTTTAGTAAAATAACATTAGGTTTACAATCCACAAAACATATTCTTTATACTTTATATGTCACACAAAATACCTAGGTTTATTTATTTATCTATTTACTTATTTTTACTGGATAATTGCAAATTTCAATTCTGTGGAAGCCAAGCAATCAATAGAGTGAAGGCTGTTCCCATACTGTTTTTCTGCACTTGCTTGATCAAGTGTTCCTTGATCTCATACAACACATTGTGACACAGGAGGAAGAGCTTTACTCTTTCGAAGACAATAATTTTAAGTAGCAGAGTATTTTCTATTTTGAAGACTAAACTTTTTCTCTGAAATTTTCATTGTGTAATCATTATGTTTAGCTGGAAACTTTGATTTTATAATATAGAAATGCTTTTCTTTGTAAATGCTTAGTTTCCTTAACTTCAAAATATATTGGAAAGAGAATTCTAAAATAAAAGTTTTAAAACATTGTATGCATTTAAATATGTTTTCATCACATAGTTATACAGTCACCTCTATGTGAAAATGTTGAATATTTCTTTTTCAATGTTTTAATTTCATGAAAACTGAGGAGTAACTTACTTTATTGCATCTTAATTTTCTGAATAAAAGTTTAAGTTAAAGAGATAATAATTCATGCATGTAACATCTCAGTTACAAAGAGTAAAATTAATTCACCTTTCACTCAAGTAGCAGATGAAAGGCAATGTTTAATTATACCTTTTGAAGTTCTTCCTCTTAAAAACTGAGCTTTCAAAATAAATGACACAAATAAAGAAGAACCTGAGAAATGAGCCTAATCACATGGCCAAATATCCTGTAAAAAGACAGGTAGAGGAATTGGGAATTTCTTCATTACACTAGATGATTGGGAATTGTTCATACCTCGCCAAAGGTTGAAGTGAATATTTTTATTGTCTCCTTTTCCCTATGGTTTTGCTTCTTTTAGCTGGTTGTTTATACTTTTCCCATAGCAGCATTTGGGTTTCTTGTGCTATGTTCTGTGTTGCCCTCCATGCTGCCTGTAACAACTCATTCTTTCTGTCTTTACAGACCACATCCTTTATAGTGCCACAGCACATGGATTTCAGAACTACCTGTGAGGAGGTAAGACAAAAAAATTTCTGTCTGTTGCAGATTTTAATCAGAAAACACTTGACCAGACTCTATGAACATGAAACTTTTCCTAGGGAAAAGACTCATTAACACCAGAATATTTTATTTATTTATTTATTTTCATTTATTTATTTTAATTGTTTTTATTGAGCAATATAGTTTTCTCCACTCCCTTCCTCTTTTCTCCTCTCCCCTTCTATCCTCTCCCATGATACCCATGCTCCAAATTTACTCAGGAGATTTTGTCTTTTTCTACTTACATTTAGATTAGATCTATGTATGTCTATTTTCGGGTTCTCTTATTGTCTTGGTTTGTCTGGGATTGTGAATTGTAGGTTGGTTTTTCTTTGTGTTATGTCTAAAAGCCACTTATGAGTGAGTACATATAATATTTGTCTTTCTGAGTCTGGATTATCTCACTACATATATTTTCTAGATTCATCCATTTGCCTGCAATTTTCAAGATGTCATTATTTTTTTCCACTGTGTAGTACTACATTATGTATATGTACCACATTTTCCTTATCCATTCGTCAGTCAAGGAGAATTTGGGTTGTTTCCAGGTTCTGGCTACGACAAAAAATACTGCTATGAACAAAGTTGAGTACATGTCTTTGTGATTTAATTGAACGTCCTTTGGGTACATACCCCAAAGTGGTATTTCTGGGTCTTGAGTTAGGTTGTTTTCAAATTTTCTGAGAAATTACCATACTGATATCCAAAGTGGCTGTACCACTTTGTACTCCCACCACCAATGAAGGAGTAAGAAAGCATATTCAACAAATGGTACCGGCATAACTAGATATCAATATATAGAAGAATGAAAATAAATCCATATCTATTAATGTACACAAAATTCAAGTCCAAATGAATCAAAGACCTTAACATAAAACCACCACACTGAACCTCATAGAAGAGAAAGCAGGAAGTACAACTGAACGCATTTGCGCAGGAGAGGACTTCCTATACATAACCCCAGTAGCACAGACACTGAGAGAAACAATTAATAAATGGGACCTCCTGAAACTGAGATGCTCCGTAAAGCAAAGGACATGGTCAACAAGATAAGACATCAACCTACAGAATGGGGAAAGTTCTTCACCAACCCCACATCGAACAGAGGACTGATCTCTAAATACAAAGAACTCATGAAATTGGTCATCAAAAGAACGTATAATCCAATGGGTACAGACCTAAACAGAGAACTCTTAACAGAGGAATCTAAAACAGCTGAAAGACACTTAAGAAAATGCTCAACATTCTTAGCCATCAGAGAACTGCAAATCAAAACAACTCTGAGATTCCATCTTATACCTGTAAGAATGACCAAGGTCAAAAACACTAATGACAGCTTATGCTGGAGAGAATGTGAGGTAAAGGGAAGAGAATATATTTTAATCCTTAAATGTAGAGAACCAAGGTCGCATCTGGGAGGTAGTAGCACAAGCCTATTTCACATTTAATCCCAGCAATTGAGAGGCAGAGACAGAGTTTGAAGTCAGCCTGGTCTACATCTTGAGTTCCAGGACAGCAGAGACTACATAGAAAAATTCTGTCTCCAAAAACAAAAACAATCTCTCAAACAAACAAATAAACAAACAAGCAAACAAATAAAAAGCAACAACAACCATAAATAAATAAGAAAGGAAGGAAGAAAGAAAGAAAGAAAGAAAGAACGAACGAACGAACGAACGAACGAACGAAAGAAAGAAAGAAAGAAAGGAAAGGAAAGGAAAAATGGTCAGTTGGGAAACCTTTTATTTCAGGGCATGGGACCATAACTGAACTTCTTTTCTCCATAAACTATGCATTGCATGATGGTACAGATGGGATACAATTAAAGGTTCTCTTGGCACACAAATAGTGCTAACTTAAAAGATATTTATGGTTCCTATTATTATTAACACTTTGGGATTTTATGGTTCTAATCTATGTAAGTTTTTCAAACAACTGGAATCTTGTGCACCACTCCCCTTAAACTTTGGTATGAGTCAAAGTGATGCATATTCTTTTCAGGCTCAAAGTGATGCATATTCTTTTCAGGCCCATTGGTATGAAAGGCCCATACTCATAATGCATGGACTTGGACTTTGAGGAATGTAACATTATATTTTAGGAAAAAAAGACTGCCTTTTAATCTCTATGATTCATTCAAAGACTCATTATTTTTAAAAAAATTCAGGTAAAATGCAAATATTCATATATAAAAATACTCTGAATTTTCCAAAATGTTTAAGCATTTATTCTACAAAGGGAGACTCCCTGGAAACAAAAACTGTTATAACTCAGTGACTGTGCTAGTGTTAAAAACAAAGAGAAAGAGTAATTATTAATTCTTATCTACTCTAGATTTGAAATGACATATAGTTTAATTTCTTGAACAAATTTGTGGAAAGCAATTCCTTGTTGTAATACAAAGAAATTGTAAATGTACCTGGTAGAGAGAATTCTCACATTCGGTGAAAAGTAAAATGTTAAATGTGGGGTCTTTCTGAAAATGATTAAACTGATTTTCTGTAATAATGTTTTGCTTTGTTTTGTTTTCAAAATGTAAATAGGATGACATTTTAGACATACATATGTCCTCTGACATTTCCGATTAATTATAAGCATTTAATTAAAGTGGCTAACAAGTTTAATTTGAGTCAGAGGAAAGTCTAAAGTGACAGTATCTATGTAGACAGTTGTTACTTGTTCGTTCCTAACTGCTCAGACCTGAATAATCACACAGAAATTATATTAATTCCAACACTGCTTGGCCAATAGCTTAGGCATATTCCTGGCTACCTCTTATATCTTAAATTAACCCATTTCTATTCATCTATATACCACCATAAGGCTGTGGTCTACCAGTAAGGTTTTCTGGGATCTTTCTCCTTCAGCAGCTACATGACGTCTCTCATACTCCGCCTACTTCATCTCTATATCTCTGTTCAGATTTCCTGCTTGTCTTTACTCTACGAAGCCATTGGCCAAAACAGCTTCTTTAATAACCAATGGTAATAAAACATATTCATAGCATACAGAGGGGAATTACAAATCACCTCTGATTTATTCATGTTTTGAACTCAACACCTTCTGATCATAAATTTTGCTTACTGAAGTAGTGAGCATACATATACATGTCATGTTATGATTTTTATTTTATATTTTAATCAAAAATAGATTCTTTTTTAAAATCATATATCTTGATTATTGCTTGCCTTTCCTTTACTCCTACCAGTATTTTCTTCCCTCCCATCCCCTCCAATCCAAACCCTTTTAGTCTATCATTAGAAGAGAACAGTCTTCTAAGAGATAACAACCAAAGAAAAATACAATATAATAAGATAAAATGAAAGCAATCACACTGTTTCTCGACCAGGTAACCCAATACAAGGGCAGGTACAAGAATCTGAGATCCACTTATTCACATACTCAAGAGTCTCATAAAAATATAAAGCTGAAAGTTAGAATATAGATGAAGAGTACCAGGTGTAGATCCATGTAGGTCCTTTGATTACTGCTTCAATCTCTGAGTTCACATTACACTTGTTAAGCTGATTTAGAGAACTTTGTTTTCCTATTATCCTCCTTCACTTCTGAATTTTACAGTCTTTCAGTCTGGTTTTTTCTTTTGTAATGTTCCTTAAAGTCATAGGGGTGGAATTTGGTGGAGACATACATTTATAGCTGTGTGTTCCAAGCACTGACTCTCTCTGTATAAGGTCCAACTGTGGGTCTTTGCATCTGTTCGTGTCTGCTATAAGAGAAAGCTTCTGTAATGATGTCTGAATAAGGCACTAATATATGAGCATAGCAGAATCTCATTATGAGTCATTATAATGATTCTTTAATAAAAAACAAGTAGTGCTTGGTTTTACCCTATGTCTTGGTGTTATCTATTCTCTGGTTCTTGGTCACCTAAGCACTGCTGGTTATGTGTTTAATCTTGTGTGTGGTTCTTAAGTCAAATCACACATTATTTGACTCGTTCTTTGGGTGTATGTATAAGAGGGGTATAGCTGGATCTTGAAGTAGATCAACACCCAACCTTCTGAGGAACCACCATATTGATTTCGATACTGACTATACAAGTTTGCATTTCCACTAGCAAGTGTTCCTCTTATTACACATCATCACCAGTGTGAAATTTCACTTGTATTTTGATGTTATCCATTCGACAGGTATAAGATAGAATCTCAATGTAGTTTTCATTTCTATTACTATGATGGGTAAGGGCTTTGAACACTTATCTCTTTCACAGCCATTTGAATTTTCGTTTCTGAGAATTTTGTTTATATCCATACCACATCTATAAATTGGGTTATTTGTTGTTTAAATATCTAGATTCATGAATTCTTTATATATTTTAGATATTAGTCTTCTATTAGATGTAGAGGTGGTAAAAAGGCTTTTCGCATTCTGTAGGGTACTGCTTTGTTTTAATGATAGTGTCTTTCTCCTTACAGAACCTTTCAGTTTCATGAGTTCCCATTTATTAATTCTTGATCTTAGTGCCTGGTTTTACAGAATTCTGCTCAAGATGTCTTCTTCTCTACCAAAGCATTAAAATCTACTCCTTATATTCTTTAATATCTGGTTCAACGTATCTGGTTTATGTCAAGGTTTATTTGGACTTAGGTTTTGTGCAAGGAATGAGTATGAATCTATTTGCATTCTTCTATATGCAGACATGCAGCTTGAGCTCCACCATTTGTTGAAGATGCTCTCTTTTTGTTTATTTCCGGCCTCTTTATAAAAGAAATGGGATGTTCATATGTATCTGGACTTATGTCTGTGTCTTCAATTCAATCCCAATAGACAACGTATCTATTTTGTACCAGTATGATGGTGCTTTTCTTAATATAGGTTTGTAGTATATCTTTAAAAATGGGATGGTGATACCTCAAGCAGTTATTCTGTCTTTCAGGATTGTTTTAGCTATCCCAGAGTTTCTTTTTGGGCTCTCATATGAAGCTGAAAATTTTCATTTCAAGATCTGTAGAGAA